ATATGCACACCGTGTCTCTTGTAATTATAATAACTCCTTAAAGTCCAGCAAAGCGGAACTCAGTTAAGCGGACCTCAATAGCTCTTGTCCTGCTCATGCGCTCGCTTAATCATAGCCAGCTCAAAGCGTTCCCGTTCGTACTGACAATCAAGCTGGTGTATAGGCTAGATGACGTCGATGACTGATGTATTGGGTATTTTATATAAATTTTTATAATAATGGTATTCCCATTAATAGATTCGCATATTTCTAATTTGTATACGATTAACAGTATTCGCCAACTCCCTTTACGCGTGACTTCGTCTTTATAGTTTCATGGTCTTGTAATCATAAAAATAAAATAACAAACAAACGAAGCAAAAACATGCAGGACGGAGCGAGTTAATCGTTGTGGTAAGCGAACTCACGTTTTATCTTTCTTGCCAACGTAGGTTAAGAATGATTTCCAAGACATGAACGTTTTCTTTCGCATCAAATTTGCTAAATGGCGACAGCACCATCTTCACCCCTGGCCAGCTCTCCAGAGAAGACAAATGGAAACAAGCTGAGCAGGCTTCTCATCGATGGTGGAACAACGGTGCTGAGGAATATATTCGATCACTATCACCCACCTGTCAACTTGGCTTCTGATCTCAATTCCAATTACTCCGTTCTTAACAACCTTTTGCGTAAAAGAGTACTTAATGGCCATCAGTGGGACAAACTCTTCCCCCCTGGAGGAGGGGTGCCAGACTCCAACACGTTTGACATCACTCTTCTGTCCCTGCTGCTAACTACCATGTGCGGCTTATCCCGTCCCCTGACAGGGTGGCACACCAAGCCATCCCCTAGTGACAACTCTCTTGAGGCTAACCTTGCTCGCGTCAAGTTCTTTCGCAATGAGCTATATGGTCACGTGACTTCCACTGGTGTAGATGCGACATCTTTCTCCTCCTTCTGGCAAGAAATAAGCATTACTCTTCATTCTCTTGGTTTAGATCAAGCACAAATTGACAGACTGAAGGCAGAGCATGGAGGAGAGGAAGATTACCTTGATGCCTTAATTGAGTGGGCTGAGAGTGAACAGGACATAAAATCCCACCTGAAGGATATACACCTGACGCAACTAAAACTTAGTAAAACAGTTGAAGATGGCACTTTAAAGCTGGAAGAGCTACGTCAAGACCTAAGCAAAACTCAGGATGTTGTAGATGAAGCAGTGGAAATAGAACTCAAAGGACAACAAGAAATGAGGGCAGTACAGTCACGTTTGGAGGGAGTATGTGAGTCCCAATCCAAAACCAGCCAAGCTGTAGACGAAATTCGTGAATCAATTCAAGAGGTAAAACAGGAAGTAAAAAGCTGGACGCAAAAGAGAAACGAGCAGGCAGATGAGGTGCTGAGAACTCTTGTGAAGTCCGAATTCAAAGGAGACATAGATTTTCATGCAAAGAAATTCCAGGAAGGTACTCGTGAGTGGATCTTCAAAAGCATTGGAGACTGGTTAGATGACCGAGCATCGCCACATCGTGTGATGGTAATCAGTGGAAATCCAGGGATGGGAAAGACTGTTATCTCCGCTGTTGTTTCTCAAAGAATGCAAATAGCTGGAAGATTGTCAGGAAGCCACTTTTGTCAGCATGACGATTCACGGTACCGAGATCCACGTTTAATGCTCCAGTCTTTGGCCTGTCACTTGTGTCAAGCGATGCCAAATTACAAAGATGCCTTGGTGGAACAGCTGTCAAGAAATCTGGGTAAAGACCTCAACAACATGGGTGTAAAAGAGCTTTTTGCGTTGCTGTTCAAAGAGCCTCTAAGCACAGTACAAGATCCTGGAAGAAACACCCTAATGGTCATTGATGGCCTCGATGAAAGCGAGTACCAAGGGCACAATGAGCTTCTACATGTAATCAGTAACCACTTTTCTATGCTTCCAGTTTGGATTAGAATTTTGATCACAACTCGTCCAGAGAGAAGCATAATAGACGCATTGCGACATTTAGAGCCAATCGAGCTTGAACAAAAGCAAGAAGAGAACTTAAATGACATTCAAACCTTGTTTGAAATACAGCTAGGCCACCAAATCGCTGAAGAACATAAAGATATTCTTTTGAAAGAGCTGGTTAAGAAATCAGAAGGCCTGTTTATTTACGCTTACTTTTTAGTGGATTTTATCCAAAAGAATGTTTCAATTCTCACTCCTGATCAGCTGGAAAGGGTATTGCCTTCACATATTTCATCCGTTTACTTGTCCTATTTCAAACGTTTAGAGAATGAACTTTGCAAAGCACTTAACGCAGATGAGGAAACTTTTTTGCGTTTCCTGTGTGCATTGACTGCTGCAAGGGAACCATTACCAGTAGAATTTATTGCCAAAATTCTAAACCTGGAGGTAAAATCTTTGACTGCGCAGCGAAAAGTTAACAAAGCAATATCTTGCATCTCTACACTGTTACCAGTTCGCGAGGGCCGTCTTCACTTCTTTCACAAGTCAATCAAGGACTGGCTAGTAGCATCATCGCCCTATGAACAACATGATTTCAAGGTGGACGAGAAAGAAGGTCATATCGTCCTTTCTGATCTTTGTGCCTCTGAACTGGATAGCATCAAGGAAAAAGGGGTTCATGGCAGACAGTTTACGAACACTGAAAGATATGCGTTGCATCATGGTACCCAGCACATACTGGAAGTTAATGATCACATCAGCGCTGACAAATCAAGAACCAGTTGTGTTAAAGCAGGACAGGTCTACCAATATGCAACGGACCTAGAGCTTATTTATGCAAAACTTTGTATTAAGAGCACATCCATCATAGAAGATCTTCTCGGTCTTCACGGCGATAATTCCAGTATTCTAAGCGACGAAAGAGTTTTTTTTGTGACTTCTCTCCTCAGTCTATTAAGAAAACACTCTTATTATCTTCTTGATCATCCTCATCTTTTCTTCCAATGTTTGATTAACGAAGGGATTCCTGAATTGTCGTCTTCAGCAGCAATTATCCTTGAATCGTCAACACCCAAAATACCCTTCATGAAATACTTAGACAACGAAGAACAAAAGGGAGCCGAGCAGGCACGATTTTGCTGTTCCCACAAAGTAGTATGTTTTGATGTGTCACCTGAAAGGGATCACTTGGTATGCGAGTCTTCAGATTCAACAATACATCTATGGTCTCTTCAGACGGGCAGCAAAAAATGGGTTCGACCGATACTAGCAAATAAGGAGTTTTTCTCCTCTGATGGATATCCAGCGGACACTGCATATCGCCGTGTAGGCCCAAACTTCTTATCATTTTATAGTTCTGTGACATTTCACCCAAGTGGCAAATTAGTACTTCCAGGAACTCTTAAATTCGTCTACACTATAAGTGGAGAAAGAGAAGAACTTTTTCCTGACAGTGATTGTACATTCGCAAATTGTGCCTATTGCAAGCACAAAAATACTTTTTTAACGGACTGCCCTACTGAGCCAAAGCGCCTAGATTTGTGGAACATGGAAAATGGCAAAATACTTCTTTCCATAGTCGATATTAAGGAACTACAAGACATTTCTTCTTTTGCCATTTCTGAAGAAGGAGAAAAAATTGCTATTTCTGATGTTACTGGTAATATTTTTCTTGTTGATTCAGTCAATTTAGACTTCACACTGATATGTAAAAGTAAAGCAGTGTGTGGATTGATCCATTTTACATCTGATACCAACTTTCTTGCTTGTGGCTATCTTCGTTTATGGTTATACCAAGACCGTGGCTTCTATAAAGCTGAATTCTTTGACCCACCAAAGCTTTTGTTTTTGCCTTATCCTAGTAAGGCTGAGACCTTTCATTTGTGGCCATCCACTTCCTCAAGTTCCTTGAATAGTTGCGATTTTATGCTGCAAAATACGACACGCTGCTGGGTCAGGAACGTAAGAAAAGTATTCCCCCGCCTGAAGGCAGGTTCTTACACGCGACTTAATGTTGAAACAGTATTGGTTGGTAGCCCAGATTTCAATTATGTTGCAGTGTTAAATATTGGCCAACTAAACGGGGCGTCTGATTCTGATTCGTCTTATTCATATGGATATGACGACGAACTTAAAAGTATTGCCCTTTCTGTTAAGGGAGATACTATTTATTCCACTACGTCAAAATATGACTGTCGTACATATGAAAGTAAATTAACCGCAACCGTTTTGAGAATGTCAAATCGAAAAATCCTGGACACAAAAATATTCTCTGAATCTGTGTCCATTGTTCCAACGGGGGAAGGTGTTGTCCTGTTTAAGAATGGTACGGTAGCAGAGTTATGGAACTTTGAGATGTCTACGTTCCTTCGTCCTCTTTTCGTGGGTATCGAAAAAGGAAATCTTTGCTCTATTTCGCCTGACCAGTTAGCTTATTGGTATGTAACAACTTCAGATGAATCAGGCCATGAAATGGAAACCCTCGTTATCAAATTCTACGATGTAACTGGAGCTGGAAGTGGGTTTATTTCACCCGTGAAGATCACTTTTGATGCTGGTGAAGAGGTAGAGTTAATTTCGGTAATTAGTCCAAACCTGGTGCTAAGTTGCACCTCTAAGGTGGTAACATTTGGAACAACAATGTCAGCGGATGACGTGACCGTCAGTTTAAGAAAAAATGGTTCAGTTGTATGGAAAAGGCGAACGTTAGATGAGGAATTTTTTCAACCACACCTGCTTTGTTCTCCTAAAAATGAGTTTGTTGTCACGTGGAACACACTGGATGGAGGTAATGGCCTACATATACTCAATGCGGATAATGGAGAAACGCTGCACGTCTTCCTTAGAGACCAGAAAGCTATTATTGACTGCAAGTTTTTAGGTGATGAATCTCTGATTTTCTGCAGCAAGGAAAACTTTCTTCGTTTGTATAATGTTCGAACCGGGGATATGCTTAGTGTGCTAGACATTGGAGAGCGACCATTTTGTTTGGGAGCCTGTCTGTACCAGCCTCTTGTCGCAGTTGGTTTGTCCGGCACAAGAACAAAATTCGTCCATGTACAGCTGTCAACAGAATCTAAAAAAAGGTGAGTTTTCCCTTAAAATGTCAAAAAGGACGTTTGTGCATTTTGCATAAGCTAGCCGTTCTCACACCACAACATCATGGGTGACAAACAATTCAGTGGAACCTTGATTTAGCGAACCTCTACATAGTGAAGTCCTCAGTGTAACGAACGATTTTCTTCAGCCCGGCCAAAATTACAGTAACATGTATGGAACCTTGATTTAACGAAATCCTCGCTTTTTTGCGAACACAATCCACAAGCGCAAACGTAAAGTATACCTCGATATAACGAATAAATGTCAGCCTGTGATAAAAGATGAATGCCAAACAGACCAGCAAGGATAAAATTTACGTGTACGTGTAGTTTTTTACGTGTACAGTAGTTCTTGAGTTTTTAGAGCAGTAGCTCGGCTGAGATATTTTTACAGTAATTTTCAGATCCGGAAAATTAATGCTGGATTCTGTAAATTAATCATTAACTATACCTCGATATAACGAACATTTTGGTAGTTTTCCCGAAAATTCGTTAAATGGGGGTGTTCGATATAACGAACCCTCGATATAACGAACAAATTTCCCCAGTCCCTTAGCACTTCGTTAAATCGAGGTTCCACTGTATTTTATTCTTCCTCAGTTTGCACGTAACGTAAAAAAACACCCAATTACCTGTAAAGGAGTTAGACCAGGGAACATACGAGTTGCCTGCTGAGAGTTGGGCATGATCAACTCAATTCAACGTGTCTTTTTTTTTTTTTTTTGCCATGAATTCAGACATGCGGGGCCGTAGCTACCTGTACGCCCGTAAAAAAAACAGGTACTGTCAAAAATGTCGAAGTTTGATAAAAAACAAACCAAAATTTAAAAAAACTGCAATTGTCTATATTACTCTATTTAGACCTAACCCCGGTTTTTTGACGCGCAAACCGACACGAAGGCCATTACCGTTGCCTGCAGAACACGGTCCAACGCCACGAGAGATGTTTACCTAACAAGATTGATAACAAGACTGGAAACCATTCCGGTCATGAGTCATTCCCGCTAAGATAAGCGAAGCTTACCTGCGGGCTCACGTTAGTTTGTAACAATGTTTGCATGATCATATTGATTATTAAATTGTTATCAGTGTAGCTCTTAAAGAACTGGTACTTTTTTCCCTAAATTTCTTAGCAACTCGAAGATTGTTTTGACAAAATTAACATGTGATACGGCATCAAATTTCGTGACTATAATTTTCTTGCATTTCAATTTCTGTAAGTAGTGAATTTCAATCTTCGAAAACTGCGAAAATTAGAATAAGGTTACTTGATAAGCTTCCAGGTTACTTTAATTAAAACTAGACTTAATTTCTTTTTTTTATTGCAGTCTCAATTACCAAACACAAGTGAATTGAGCAACATCTGATGAGCTGACACTCGATGAAAACAGGTGGATTTGGCAAATCAGCGTGCACGAACTCTATTTTATTGACTTCAGTTTTTTAATGAACTTTGTATGTTAACACAGTGGGGGAACAATAGAGACTGAGAAATTGGGGTCCGGATCTTTGTTAATGCACCCATTAGACCGGATGATTTTAAACAATTATTGGATGAGGTTTTTGGGATATTCGGAATAATCAAGGCTGTGGCTGATAACCCGAGACCTTGATTATTTAGGATATGACAAAAACCTAATGTAATATTAATACTTGTTTCAATATTATACATTGTTTTGAAGAAAATAACGACAAACACACCGTGGCAAGGAACCGATTGCGCGCGCAATCTACAGTTCAGAATAGTCCGCGAATCTGCTAGCAGATAACTAACTCATCTGTAGGTTGCACTGATATCTAAAATTAACTCGATAATAAGTACAATGTATAATAATTAAAGTAATTAACCGACTGCTTTAAAATTGTTATTCAGGCTGAAGACTCGCATATAACGGTCATCTAGTAGCTTACAAATGAAACTTGCCTTGCACTTCAAACGGTAGTATTGAAATTGACGAAATCTGGACCACATTTATCACCGATCACTAGACAAGCGTTGAAGGTTGAATAAACGTCCCTTTTGTAAGCTTTAATCCACGTCCATCCTTGTCATCCGTTGCAACATCCAGACGACAGTAATCAGTTTCAATGCCTAAATTTTAGCCTGCGAGCTCTCTGATTAGGGCGAGCGAAGCGAGTCTCGCGAGAACTCGCGAGCGAGCGGCGAAGCCGCGAGGGGCAGAGGAAAGGAGAGCTTGCAACGATCTCTCATAAAATTTCACTTGTACTTTCGCTCAGACGAAGGGAAATACAATTGGCTCCTTTCCTCGGCCCTTCGCTCGTGCGTTCTCCCGAGGCTCGCTTCGCTCGCCCAAACAGGAGAGCTTTCTCGCAACCTAAATATAGTCTTTATTAACCGAAACTGGACCGAAAAACGTTTTAGCGTTTTAAAAAGAAAGCAAATAGTGTGTTAAAGCCCCTTTTAGTCAGCTCACTCAATCCAGTTTTTATTTCTTATTACTTAAGGGAGAAGGGGAAGTGGGTTCGCTGGCAATAAATCCAAATCATAACTTATTCCGTTACTTTGTTCTGCATATATTACATTTCATGGCTGTTAAAGTCAAGTTGTTTTTAAAAAGTATTGTAAATTGGACATGTGTGGAATTCTAATACAACGAACTGTGAGGAGACTGGGATGAATTGCTAGTTTTAACGGGGTACTTGATAGGGTGGAAGTTCGATATAACAAACTCCCGTTAAAATGTACAGTCCTTTGGCACTCCGTTATTACGAAGCAATATTACGTCTGCGTCTTATTCGATACTTAGGCCCGGTTCAGACACCGAGCTTTTCATGAGCCGAACCTAATTCGAATTAAGGCCTACCCAAACTACTTAGACAGCGTGAATTGATTCAGACCCCGATCTTAATTCCAGACGAACTAAATACAAATAAAAGGATAAAAATGCTCATTTTGGTCAAACTGCTTGCAAAATGCGTTATTATAATTTATGCACTAGGTTCGGTATATGAAAAGTTCGGCGTCTGAATCAAAGCCGCCGTTCCAAAGTTGTTCCACAGTCGAAATTCCCGGCCAGGCTAGGCGTGAAGAACGGCTGAGCCGTTCCAAATTGAAAAGATCGGCGTCTGAACCGGGTCTTAGGCATTTCGAAGTCAGGTCCCCCGAGCTCCTATCTTAGGGTCCGGATGAGCGGGCCCTTCAATGACGTCAAGATCTGGACCCGTCCCCAGCACTTTACCAGAGTTTTTCGCAGGCGATTTTTCTTTCTTTAGTTCTTACTTCTCCTTCTTCTTCCTCTTCTTCCTCTCTCAAAACAACTGGTTTAGTTATTTTAGGACGTGCACCAGTAATTCTCTTGTTATCTACGGAGAGGGGGGGAGGTACAGGAGGGTAAATCTCCCTCCCCCCTACTTTTTCAGCCAATTTCTCCCTCCTCCCTAAACTTGGTTTAAAAATTGGCGGCGGGCAACACACGACTCCCGCACTTAGTCGTAAAGGAAGTTATCCGACCCTCAGAGCTTCGCCTATACACCAACATATCACAAAAAGAGGGCGTAACCACGGTATGTCACGCATACGAAGATCTTTATGGAGGGAAAGCCCCTATGCCTTCTAAATATCTAAGAAAAAATACTCGATCTTATATTAATATAACAGAAAACTCTTTCCAATTTTGCAGTAGCAACTACCTACAGACCTATGGAACAGGCTAAGGAAGTCCCAGGAGACCCAAGGGGATCGCAGTGTACTTCAAATTCCCAGTCCCCCATCCCTTGTCATCACGCAAGTTTAATTAAAAAAGCCATAAAATTACCTTCTCATCGATATCTCCCTGCTCCCAACGTTTTGTTTTCACCCTCCTTCCTACATTTTCGCACCGATTTCTCCTTCCTCCCTACCTTTTCGGGCCATTTCTCCCTCCTGCCTATTCTGTTCCTCTCCACTCTTTACGGCCATCGTGAAGGGTGCACGGACAACAGGATTTGCCAGACGTTCTATATCGGATGCGGCAAACTGGGACTAGGTAGGAATGGAGATGGGGTTATTTTTGTCGGTGGAAGGGGAAACGCTTCATGGCACGGGCTGCTCAGACTCTGTGGCAGTTCATGGGAATGTGATTTTTATAAAAGAATAAATGAGAACAAAGAAAATGCTTTCCAAATTCCGCTTTTTAAAAACATCTTGAAATCTAAAACTTGCCAAAACGACTTTAAAATGCCCTCAGGGGGAAGCTGACTGTAAAACACACAACACAAACAATGACTCATTGTTATTTGGAATCTTTAAAAAAAAAGCGGAATTTAGAACGTATATACTTTCTTTGTTCTCACAAATTCTGTTTAAAAAAATGAAAATTTGGAACGAACTCCCTTAGAGCCTGGGCTGCCTGTGTTTATTAAAGCTCTTGAGTAAGGGGGTGATTGACTGTTGTTGCTGTTTGATTCGTTTCTTTTTTTTCTTGTCCATTATCGTACTCTTCAGCAGCTTCTCTAAGCTACAGTTCTGTTGAAGGGAATGAGATAGCATGCGTGGCGTGCCTTTTTGCCCCTATCCAGGACTAAAACTTATTTTGTTGGATTAACAATAAGCGCTTGTCGATAATTGGCGCTCATTGATGCAAAACAAAACGACACTCCCCTCTTCTAATTGCAATATTTTCGAAACAGTCAAGCAACATAAGTCTATGCAAATGCAAACAAGAGGTTGTCGTACTCAAACTGTCTAAATTTGAGATTCATCGATGGGCCACGTCACTTAGAACACCTTGATTCGTTAAGAAACATGCCCAGGGATCTACATGGAAGAAGCTTTGCTAGAGAATGTGGCAGCCGAAAAGGTAAATTTATCAAAATAGCTTCAGGGCCTTGTGTACGCCACAGATCGTTTCACAGGGCATTTATCGAGGCATCTAGATGTATCCATCTCGATATTTCACCTTTACTATGTAGTGCTGAGTTTTGTTAAGATTATTTCCTTTGCGTTTGGGATTCTGAAAATGAAATTCCGATCGATGCCAACAACTTGCACTTTTCAAAGTTTGTAGAATATTTTTTAGGAGAGAGCATAAGAAGCGAATCGATAAATAATTCTTAAAGCAGATATTACAACTGGCCTTAAACTCTTCTCTTTTCTAAGCTCTATTAGCTTCTACATGTAGCTACTTGCTAAATGAATGTTTAACTCAAGCGTTCTGTCACCATTAGCTCATGTGTTTCTAGTAGAAGACATAACCGACGTTGATAATATCGAACGAAGGAATATTCTTTGCGACCCTCAGCAGTGAGGAGACACGTCCTTATATTTCTGACTTGAAGAAACCAGGCCGGTTTGAGTTATGAACGCCTGTAATCGTCCAATTCAAGTACATGCAAGTACGACGTACACCCGTGGGTTTTTTTTCTGTGTATTGAAGATGTCTCCAAGTTTATGCGTTTCTTAGCTTTTCCCTTTGGTGTTAAAATCGTAGATAAACCTCAAGTATGGTGCGCGTCAAAAGCTAACACGGTTGATAGCCCGCAGCCGCAGTCAATGCGCGTTTTATATGACACACTACTCTTCTGCTTTGGGGAGCAACAGATCAACAAGCAACGCCTTGTCAGAAAACTTGTAAAGAACTCACAAATGAACGAAAAATATGCCAGTGGTCATATCGATTCTGAATGTATAAAGTCAAATGATGACTTCAAAGGCAGTGAAAGCTAATTCATCGCTTGAATATCGATTACCGTACTTTAAAATTGAAAATAGTACAGGCGATATGATTATGATGGCAGTCAGGGTGTTCTCCCTTTTATTCTCTTATTGAGTGTCGCAAATTTGAGAAAATTAATATGGTCCATGTCTGCCTTTTTTGTCGTCTTACAAATTTGTTTTGCTCGTCAGTGTTACGTTGCTCAGCTAGATTATTCTGTTCAATATCGCTCTTTATGAAGTTAAATAGACCAACAATTTGTTCATTCAGGTACTTCAAAAAACTTATAATGTATAATGCTTGGTTCTAAAAAACGATCTGGCAGTAAATGATTTCCAAACTTTTATGCCTTAAGTATTTGCCCTTTATATGCAGAAAGAGAAATTGCCGTGTCTCTTGTAATTAAAGCAACTGCATAACTCCCTAATATCCAGTAAAGCGAAACCTTGGAACTTCAAAAGCTCTTCTCCTGCTAACGGCGCTCGGTTAACCAACTCAAACCGTCCACTGTCGTAAATCTAGCTGTTGTGTTCTCTTAATATCCTCGACAGCAAATGTCGTGTTTAACACCCTTCTCGAAGGCATTGGTTTTAATTTCTTACTAGTCATACTCCCATAATTGTCATATTTCTCATTTGTATACGATTACAATGCAATATTCGCCAACTCTCTTTACGCGTGATGTCGTCTTTATAGTTTCATGGTCTTGTGATCATGAAAATAATAATTACAAAAACACAAATTAAATGAAAACAATGACGGAGCGAGTTGATCGTTGTGGAGTGACTTACGTTTTTTCTCTCTTGCAAACGTAGGTTAAGAATGAATTTCCAAGACGGGAAAGTTTTCTTCTGCGTCAAATTTACTAAATGGCGACTGCAGCATCTTCACCCCTGGCCAGCTCTCCAGAGAAGACAAATGGAAACAAGCTGAGCAGGCTTCTCATCGATGGCGGAACAACAGTACTGAGGAATATATTCGATCACTATCACCCACCTGCCATCTTGGCTTCTGGTCTCAATTCCAATTACTCCGTTCTTAGCAACCTTGAGCGTAGAAGAGTTCTAAATGGCCGTCAGTGGAACAAACTCTTCCCCCCTGGTGGAAAGCTACCAGACTCTAACACATTTGACATCACTCTTCTGTTCCTTCTACTAACCAACATTTGTGGTTTATCCCCTCCCCTGACAGGATGGCACACCAAGCCATCCCCTGGTGATAACTCTCTTGAGGCTAACCTTGCTCGCGTTAAGTTCTTTCGGAATGAGTTGTATGGTCACGTAACGTTCACGGGGGTTGATGCGACATCTTTCTCCTCCTTCTGGCAAGAAATAAGCACCACTCTTTATTCGCTCGGTTTAGATCAAGCAGAAATTGACAGACTGAAGGCAGAGCATGGAGGAGAGGACGATTACCTTAATGCCTTAATTGAGTGGGCTGACAGTGAAGAGGACATAAAAACGCAGCTGAAGGATATCCACCAGACACAACTAAAACTCAGCAAAACAGTTGAAGATGGCACTTTAAACCTGGAAGAGCTACGTCAAGCCCTAAGCAAAACTCAGGATGTTGTAGAGGAGGCAGTGGAGATAGAACTCAAAGGACATCAAGAATTGAGGGTAGCACACCAGGAAAGCATGTCACGTTTAGAGGAAGTGTGTGAGTCCCAAACTAAAACCAGCCAAGCTGTGGACGAAATTCGTGAATCAATCCAAGAAGTAACACAGGAAGTAAAAGGCTCGACGAAAACGAAAAGCGAGCACGCAGATGAGGTGCTTAGAACCCTTGTGAAGTTTGAATTCAAAGGAGATATAGAGTATCATGCAAAGAAATTCCAGGAAGGAACTCGTGAGTGGATCTTCAAGAGCATCGAAGACTGGTTAGACGACCGGAGCTCGCCACATCGGGCGATGGTAATCAGTGGAAATCCAGGGATGGGAAAGACTGTTATCTCCGCTGTTGTTTCGCAAAGAATTAAAAAAGCTGGAAGACTCTCGGGAGTCCACTTTTGTCAGCATGACGATTCACGGTACCGTGATCCGCGTTTAATGCTCCAGTCTTTGGCCTGCCACTTGTGTCAAGCGATGCCAAATTACAAAGATGCTCTAGTGGAACAGCTGTCAAGAAATCTTGGTAAAGATCTCAACAACATGGGGGTAAAAGAGCTGTTTGCATTGCTGTTTAAAGAGCCTCTAAGCACAGTACAAGATCCTGGAAGAAACACCCTAATAGTCATAGATGGCCTCGATGAAAGCGAATACAAAGGACGCAATGAGCTTCTACATGTAATCAGTAACCATTTCTCTATGCTTCCAGTCTGGATTAGAATTATGATCACAACTCGTCCAGAGAAGAACGTTACAGAGGCATTGCGACATTTGAAACCAATAGAGCTTGAACAAAAACAAGAAGAAAACTTAAAGGACATTCAAACCTTGTTTGAAACACAACTCAGCCTCAAAATTGGTGAGGAGCATAAACATGTTGTCTTGAAAGAGCTGGTCAAGAAATCAGAAGGCCTGTTTATTTACGCTTACTTTATAGTAGATTTTATCCAAAAGAATGTTTCAATTCTCACTCCTGATCAGCTGGAAAGTGTGTTACCTTCAGATATTTCTTCTGTTTACTTGTCCTATTTTACACGGTTAGAGGATCAACTTTGCAAAGAGCTTAATACAGATGAGGAACATTTTTTGTGTTTCCTGTGTGCATTGGCCGCTGCAAGGGAACCATTACCAGTAGAATTCATTGCCAAAATTCTAAACCCGGGAGGAAAATCTTTGACTGCGCAACGAAAAGTTAAAAAAGCAATATCTTGCATTTCTACACTGTTACCAGTTCGAGAGGGTCGTCTTCACTTTTTTCACAAGTCAATCAAGGACTGGCTAATAGCATCATCGCCCTATGAACAAAATGATTTAGCGGTGGACGAGAAAGAAGGTCATATTGTCCTTTCTGATCTTTGTGCTTCTGAACTCGAAAGCTTGCAGCGAAAAGGGGTTCATGGCAAACAGTTTTCGACTACTGAAACATATGCTTTGCATCATGGTACTCAGCACATGCTTGAGGTCACCGATCATGACTGCGCTGACAAAACAAGAACCAATAGTGTCACAGCAGAACAGGTGTACCGATACGCAACGGACCTAGAGCTTATTTATGCAAAGCTTTGCGTTAAGAGCACAACAGCCATAGAAGATCTTCTTAGCCTCCACCGTGAGAAATCCAGAATAGTAAGCGAGGAAAGAGATTTTGTTGTGACTTCTCTCCTCAGTCTTCTAAGAAAACACTCTTACATCTTGTTTGATTACCCTCACCTATTTTTCCAGTGTTTGATTAACGAAGGTACCCCTGAATTGTCGTCTACAGCATCAGGTACTGTTGAGTCATTAACTCCCAAAATGCCATGCATGAAGTTCTTAGACAATGACAAACAAAAGGGAGCAGTCCAGGCAAGATTTGAGTGTTCAGATAAAATAGCATGTTTTGATGTTTCACCTGAAATGGACTACATGGTATGCGAGTGTCGAGATGAAACAATCCATTTGTTTTCTCTGAAGTTTGGTACCAAAGTATGGGTTCAACCATCATCTACACAGAGAAAGTATTGGCCTAGAGAATTAAGTGGGAATGGTGCATATCGGCAAATTGGGCATTCCCTGTCATTCTACCATTCTGTCATCTTTCATCCAAATGGAAAGTCGGTACTACCAGGAACTCTTCGATATGTTTACACAATAAGTGGAGACAGAGAAGACCTTTATCCGGACAGCGACTGTTCATTCTCAAATTGCGTTGTACGTTCTCTTTCTGACACTGAGAACATAATTTTCACAACTTGCTATACAGAGCCAAAGCGAATAAAAATTTGGGATATGAAAAATGGCCAATTAATCAATCAATTAATCGAGTGCGATGCAGAAATTGCTTCCTTTGCCATTTCTGAAGATTGGTCACTTATTGCTATTTCTGACATTACTAATACAATTACTGTTTTTGACGTAGACAACCAGTCTGGCTTGAAATTACCACTCGGTAAAGATGATTATCAATCGGTTTGTGGATTGATGCAATTCACATCCGACAATAACACTCTGGTTTGCTGCTTTCTATATTGGCGTTGTGATGAAGCCGGTTGCCTATTAGAAGAAGAAAGAAAACCAAGATTTACCTTCATTACGCCGGTAAATAACATTTCGTTACCTGATCCTCATTTTGAGACTCTGGAATTTCGAACCTTTCTCTTGTGGCCCTTTGTTCCACAAAACACTTTGACTCAATCCACTTTCATGGGGCAGAATGAAGGACCTTCCTGGGTATCGAAGGTGCAGAGAGAGATTCCACATTTGTTCTCAGGTTCCTACATCAGTCTAAACGATGAAAGAATTTTGGTTGGTAGCCCAGATCACAAAAACGTGACGATGTTAAATGTTGGTCTACTGCAGAGGGAGTCCGATTCGACTTACACTTCGAACGTTAACATGGATGTCAGGAAGATTATTTTTTCTATGGAAGGTGATGCAATATACGTCGTAAGCTCAGGCAGGTTTGTCCAGTTTAGTACAGAAGTGGTAGAGATAACTATCTGGAAAATGTCAAGTCAAGAATTGCTGGAGACTAAGACATTCTTTGGTCCCGTGTCGATCGTTCCAACGAAGGAAGGTCCTGTACTTTTTAAAAATGATCGTGTAGCAGAGTTGTGGAATTTCAAGCTGTCGAAGTGCATTCGAAGTATTGTTAAACTAACTAGTGATACTAGTATTTTATGTAAAGTAACCATTATCCCGGTATCAGATGAACTGATAGCCTTTTTTTATGCAGTGAATTCATACGAATCAATTTATGTCAGAAGTCCGCACGAGTCGGAAGAAACTGAACACTCACTTGATGATTTATTAGAAGGATTAGTTTTCGGGGATTATAGAAATTATCGTCTTGACTTTATAGACATATCCAGCGTTGGAGGAAGGCTTGTTTCCTCGCTAAGCATGGGAGTTGGCGCCAAAGAATACGTAGACTATGTCTCATGCAGTAGTTGTTTGGGCGAAGTGTTGGTTTGCACTGTCGAAGATATATCCGAGGGATTACCTATAGACAACGAGAAGCTCACTGTTAGCTTAAGAAAGAACAGAATAATTAAATGGGAACGAAACACAGAATACGTGTTCTCATTGTCTCCGTTCCAACAGCACATGATTTTCTCACCCAGGAATGAGTTTGTTGTCACGTGGAATACTCTCGACAGGGGCCAAGGTATACACGTTCTTCAGGCGGAAACTGGAGAGACATTGCATGTCTTTCTTAGAGACCAGAAAGACATTATTGAATGTAAGTTTTTAGATGATGAATCTCTGGTATGCTGCAGTGGAGATAACTTCCTTCGATTGTATAATGTCAGAACCGGAGACCTTCTAAGTGTTTTAGACATTGGAGACCAACCTTTCTGTCTGGGAGCATGTTTGTACCAGCCTCTTATTGCCATTGGTTTGTCCGGCACAAGAATAAAATTCGTCCACGTACAGTTACCAACAGAATCTAAAAAGAAGAAATAAAGGTGAGCCTTTCTCTAGTCGGTCAAAAATAGGCACACGGCCAGTTTCGCGAGTTAATGTAACCTAACAGTACCTAGACTCTACGAGTTCTCTCTATTTTTTCAGTCCGTAGCGCGAAAGGCTCGAGACACGAAAATAACCACGCGCGCGACTGAATGTGCAGGCTCTCTCTCTCGCGTGTACTTTTTTCACTAAAAAGTTAATTTGAAGAAAATAGGAGATTATTTGCAGCCTAAACCAGGAGGAAAAATTAATTATGGCTCCTGGTCTAAACAGTGCCCACACCTCAACAAGATAAGTAGATATACGTCTAGAGTGAATCTTATTCTTACAAATTTGCGCACGAAAGTTCATAAATAAACGTTACAGTTCTCATTCATTCATTCATTGATATTAATTTGGTTCTTAATTCAAAGCATTGCGAAATAAATGAAACTAATTGAACGTTACAGTTCTCATTCATTCATTCATTGATATTAATTTGGTTCTTAATTCAAAGCATTGCGAAATAAATGAAACTAATTGACAGTTAATCAAATAATGAGAAGAATTCATAAGAAGAGATATTAAAGTATCAAGTGAAAGTGATTTGAAGTCAGGTATTTTAGTTTCTAGTTTGGAGAAAAATGCGTCTCTGATCTGAGAATAAGCCTTACAATCTAGTAAGAAATGGTTTTCATATGATCTGATATGATGGTGAGGCAGGGAAAGAATATGGAAAATCTAAGAAAAAAAACCATGTTTGAAATTACCTAAAATCATCGCCATCAAGTCCATGACTTACAGCAACTTTAAGAATTATTTTATTTCGTAACGTGACATAGCATTAAATTTCGCAACTTTAAGTTTTCTTGCACTCCAGTTTTCGCTGGTAGTAGATTTCAGGATTGTTTTGAATTTGCGAAAAACGCGAACTTTAGATTCCACCTTACTTATTAAAATAACCCAAGTGAATTTCTGTTTTCAGTTGCAGTTTTAACGCAGGTAAATTGAGCAACTTCTGATGACCTGACACTAGCCAAGCACAAAGAGCTGGATTCTGGATGAAAAGAAATAATTGCAAAAGTTTGGATTTAAATTTATTTGAAGAGCCCTTGATGCAAGCTGCTATAAAGAGACATGTATATCATGAACTTTGAAATTTCGCACATTAACAGAGTAGCGGATGTAGGGAGGGGCCGGGGGGTGGGGTGGGTCGGAGGGAGGATCCGTTAAAGCACCAATCAGACTAACTGCTAAAATTTGAAACTGGAAAAAAGAATGAATATTAGTATACACAGCCTTCCTTTAGTAGCTTACAATGGAACTTGTTTTGCACCCTTAACCATAATCAGTACACCTTTTTAACCACGTCGCACTGGCTTGTTATATAAATCGACGAAATCTGGACAAAACGTAAAACTAAACCAACTAGAAAAACGTTGTAAAACTTTTTTGTATGGCTTTTTTTGTGAATGTTCCAGATGTCTGAAAATGACTCACATCTCCCAGTAACACGGTAGTAAAAACATGCAGGGTTTAATATACTAAAGTACGGTGTGATATAAGAGTCATGTTAACACTCTTTGTCTGGCCTGCACCGCACCACACTCTTTCTGAGACTTTACAGGCGCGTCACCTTGAGTTTAATTTACTAGTTAAAATTGTGTGTTGCACGATTATCATGACATTAGTGGTTTATATAGTTGACTTTTCCTTGTAGAAGTAATAGAGAGCTTAAGCAACAAGGAAGGCGACGGCTACGAAAACGTCACTCAAAAAGTGAATTCGCGCCGCCTCAAACTTTATCGCGCCTGTTCCATCTCGTTTAATTCGTCAAATGTTGGTAAATTTTTTTGGAGTTGAATTCTAAAGGACTCTATCAAAGTTCAAGAAATGAAAAAGAAAGTTGTTGTCTTGAGTGGCCGTCCTCGACAAAACGCGAAATTATGCAGTTTCACGTCGTAGTCGTGCAACGAAGGCTAAGAAATGTACAAAAAAGCGTGATGCACGTGCAAAGTTGTTGTTTTGCCTATCTAAACTTCTTAGGGTTTTTATTTGCCGTTCTCGTTGCCGTCGCCGTCGTCGTTGCTTAAGCTTCCTAATGTTTAATCTTACCTATCTCCTCCTCTTTAAACCTCCTAGATCCAGCCACGTGACCTACCCTGCTTGCAGAGGTTTGTCTGTTCCGGCATGGTTTTAAGCATTAAGGACGTAAAGAAGCCAATTACATTTAGGCGAATGTTAGCAATGAAAAAGACTTCATAAATGCTTAAAACCACACCGAAAAGAAACCTCTGCTGGCAGGGTAACGTTACCATGTTGTTACTGTGTAACAGTGGAGTAAAAAGGGCGAACTACTGGTTTTCTTTTTTCGTAAAATGGCTGGCAATGAAACCAATTTATTACTCGAGGTTCACGATTTGATTTTCCGGATATGTTACGAACTGTATATGTTTTAAGGTCAACCTGGTGGTACAATCATGAAATAGCAAAGTGCCAGAAAACTGAAATAATTTATGGGGTCATGTTGTACAGTGGACCCTGCATAATCAACGTCCCAGTACAATGTCAAGTACAAAGTACACAGTCAAACTGCGTTAATACGGACACTAAAGGAACCATAGACAGTGTCCTTATCAACGGGGTGTCCGTATCTAGCGGGTTGGATTTAGAGAAAATATAAGGGCTTTGTTTTCCCAGGGACAAAGCAAACTGTCCATAAAAATGAGGTGTCTGTATTAAGCAGGTGTCCGGCGTAAAGCGGGTTTTGACTGTATGGAACAATACCCTACAAGAGAGGATTCTCTCCTGGCACCCAATATAACTTTTATATACCTTCTTTTTATTAGGTGCAATTACAACACATGGTAAATTTATTTCCATCTTGAAAATAAAACCACAATAATAGTAATTATTAGTTTTTTATCCATGGAAGGGATATGAGATCCTGTTCATAGACCGTTGCCATTAAAAAATTTGCCTCAGAACGTTTGCCACATACATTGACGAATGTTTCCGTGCATGTCATGTAAAGGTTATTTAATTCCCTTGGTAATAAAAGTGTTCCTGAAACTCTATATCTGGATTCTTCAATAGGGGGGTCTTGCTGTTCCATAGTTACTTTTCCTATTTTGACTGAGGCGAAGAATATGATTAGTTATACTAGCGGGGTCCATGTCCTTCGTTACGTAGGAGTTGTATCGAGGTTCAACTACGTGTATCCAGATATCAGTTAAGTTGTACATTCTCATCGTACTCCTCATCAGCTTTTCTAAACTACAGTTCTGTTGGAGGGAATGAGATAGCCTGCATGGCGTGCCTTCCTCGTGGGCCTTTTTCTTTTTTGCCCCCATTTGTTGGATTATAAATAAGCGCTTGCCGATTGGTACTCACTGATGCAAAACATAAATGGCACTCCCTTTTTCTAATTGTAAAGTTTTCGAAACAATCAAGCAACATAAGTCTATGCAAATAAAAACATGAGTTTGTCGTACTCAAACTGTTTAAATTTGAGATTCATTGATGGGCCATGTCACTTAGAACACTTTGTTTCTTAATGAAACATGTCCAGGGATCTACACCGAAGAAGCTTCGTTAGAGAATGTGCCAGCAGAGAGGTACGTTTATCAAAAAATAGCTTCAGGGCCTTGTGTACTCCACAGATCGTTTCACAGGGCATTTATCGAGGCATCTTAATGTATCCACCTCGATATTTTACTTTTACTATGTAGTGCAATTTTGTTTAGATTACTTCTGTAAATTACGTTTGGGATTCTGAAAAAACTTCTGGGATTGATGCCAACATCTTGCAACTTTCAAAGCTTCTAGAACAGTTTCAGCAAAGAGCGTAAGAAACGAATAGATAAACATTCCGCGAAGCAGACATTATATTTCCCTTTTATGTCTCTTAAGCTCTATTAGCTTCTAGCTTCTTGCTCAGTGCAATTTTTAATTCAAAGCTTTCTGTCGCCATTAGCTCCCGATAATATCGAACGAAAGAATATCCTTTGCCACCCTAGAAAGACCGTACATCTTTATATTTCCGCCTAGACAACACCAGGCGGGTTTGACAGAGACTGGTTTGAGCTATGAACACCTGTGAGCGTCCAGTTCAAGTACATGCAAGTACGTCGTTTACCTTGTTTCTGTCTACTGATGATGTCTGCATCGATCTGCAAGTTTATGCTTCTCATTTCCCTTCGCTGTTAAACTCGTAGGTTAACGTGGCCCATAAAGTAAGGTGCACGCCTAAAAGCTTACACGGTTGATAACCCAGTCAGTTATTGCGCGTTTTATATGACACAGCTCTTCTGCTTTTCGCGAAAAACAAATCAACAAGCAGCGCGTTTTTCAGAAACCTTGTAAAGAATTTACAAGTGCACGAAATCCAGTGGTCATTAAATTCTGAGTGTATACAGTCAAGTGATGACTTACAATGTAGTGAAACTGCTAATTCATTATACGGTTTCAATTTGCATTACCGTACTTCAAAAATACCTTATCACATCTACGGGCAATTATTTGTATTGATGACAGTCAGAGAGTGAGTTACTTTTTCAAATTGAGTGTCGCGGATATAAGAAAATTAATATGGTCCATATGTCTGGGTTGTCGACAATTTCCACATTTGTTTTGCCTGTTAATGTTGTGTTGCTTAGGTATATTTTATCACCCTCCTTCTCTTTGCAATTCAATAGACCGATAATTTGTTCATTCAGTTGGCTTCAAATGAAATGATAATGTATAATGTTTGGTTCTAACAAACCTCCTGGCAGTAAACTTGATTTCCAAACTTTTAATGTTACGTATTTGCTTCTATGCACAAAGGAAACGCCATGTATAATTAAAGCAATTACTATTAATAGCTCCCTGAATATCTAGCAAAGCGGAACTTTGGGACTTCACAGCTCTAGTCCTTTTAATGCGCTCGGCTAGCCAACTCAAATCAAACACGATAGTTGTTCCAGTTCGGTTCAGTGCACAAAATACCCTCGACAGGTAATAAGTTAAACACCCTCCTTGAGGGGATTGGTTGTAAATTTTTTCATGTATATCATGATCGTATTCCTATTAATAGTCACGTATTAACAATATTCTCTAACTCTCTTTACGGATGACTTGGTCTTGGTTTCATGGTCACATAAAAACAAAGCAAAACAGTGACGGAGCGAGTTAATCGTTGTAGTGTGACCCACGTTATATTTTTTTGTCCACATAGGTCCAGAATGAATTTCCAAGACATGAATATCTTCTGCATTAGGTTGCTAAATGGCGACAGCAGCACCTTCACCCCTGGCCAGCTCAAGAGAGAAGACAAATGGAAACAAGCTGAGCAGGCTCCTTATCGATGGTGGAACAACAGCACTGAGGAATATTTTTGATGCTATTCACCCTCCTACCAACTTAACGTCTGATCTCAATTCCAATTACTCCATTCTTAACAACCTTTTGCGTAGAAGAGTACTAAATGGCCATCAGTGGGACAAACTCTTCCCCTCTGGTGGAGGGCTACCAGACTCCAACACGTTTGACATCACTCTTCTGTTCCTTCTGCTAACCAACATTTGTGGTTTATCCCCTCCCCTGACAGGATGGCACACCAAGCCATCCCCTGGTGACAATTCTCTTGAGGCTAACCTTGCTCGCGTTAAGCTCTTTCGGAATGAGCTGTACGGTCACGTGACGTCCACGGGAGTTAATGCGACATCTTTCTCTACGTTTTGGCAAGAAATAAGCACCACTCTTTATTCGCTCGGTTTAGATCAAGCTGAAATTGACAGACTGAAGGCAGAGCAGGGAGGAGAGGAAGATTACCTTGATGCCTTAATTGAGTGGGCTGACAGTGAAGAGGACATAAAAACACAGCTGAAGGATATCCATCAGACGCAACTTAAACTCAGTAAAACGGTTGAAGATGGCACTTTAAAGATGGAAGAGCTACGTCAAGCCCTTAGCAAAACTCAGGATGTCGTAGATGAAGCAGTGGAAATAGAACTCAAAGGACAACAAGAAATGAGGGCAGCACAGTCACGTTTAGAGGGAGTGTGTGAGTCCCAAGACGAAATTCGTGCGTCAATTCAAGAGGTAAAAGAGGAAGTAAAAAACTTGACGAAAAAGAGAAACGAGCAGGTAGATGAAGTGCTAAGAACTCTTGTGAAGTCGGAATTCAAAGGAGACATAGAATTTCATGCAAACAAATTCCAGGAAGGAACTCGTGAGTGGATCTTCAAAAGTATTGAAGACTGGTTAGATGACCAAGCATCGCCATATCGGGTGATGGTAATCAGTGGAAATCCAGGGATGGGAAAGACTGTTACCTCCGCTGTTGTTTCGCGAAGAATGCAAAAGGTTGGAAGACTCTCGGGAAGCCACTTTTGTCAGCATAACAATTCAAGGTACCGAGATCCGCGTTTAATGCTCCAGTCTTTGGCCTGTCACTTGTGTCAAGCGATGCCAAGTTACAAAGATACTCTGGAAAAACAGCTGTCAAGAAATCTGGGAAAAGACCTCAACAACATGGGTGTAGAAGAACTGTTTGCGTTGCTGTTCAAAGAGCCTCTAAGCACAGTACAAGATCCTGGAAGAAACACCTTAATAGTCATAGATGGCCTCGATGAAAGCGAGTACCAAGGACGCAATGAGCTTCTACATGTAATCAGTAACCACTTTTCTATGCTTCCAGTTTGGATTAGAATTTTGATCACAACCCGTCCAGAGAGGAGCATAACAGAGGCATTGCGACATTTAGATTCAATCGAGCTTAAACAAAAGCAAGAGGAGAACTTAAATGACATTCAAACCTTGTTTGAAAATCAACTCAGCAACAAAATTGGAGAAGAGCATAAAGATGTTCTCTTGAAAGAGCTGGTTAAGAAATCAGAAGGCCTGTTTATTTACGCTTACTTTATAGTGGATTTTATCCAAAACAATGTTTCAGTTCTCACCCCTGATCAGCTGGAAAGCGTATTGCCTTCAGGTATTTCGTCCGTTTACTTGTCCTATTTCAAACGGTTAGAGAATGAACTTTGCAAAGAGCTTAATGCAGATGAGGAACATTTTTTGCGTTTCCTGTGTGCATTGACAGCTTCAAGAGAACCATTACCAGTAGAATTCATTGCCAAAATTCTATACCCTGGAGAAAAGTCTTTGACCGCGCAGCGAAAAGTTAAAAAAGCAATATGTTGCATCTCTACACTGTTACCAGTTCGCGAGGGTCGTCTTCACTTTTTTCACAAGTCAATTAAGGACTGGATAACAGCATCATCGCCCTATGAACAACATGATTTCACCGTGGACGAGAAAGAAGGTCATGACGTCCTTTCTGATCTTTGTGCTTCTGAACTCGATAGCATCAAGCAAAAAGGGGTTCATGGCAGACAGTTCTGTTGGTCCTATGTATTCTATGTTTATATACTAAGCCTTAACAAACAGAGAAATACTCAAATATAAACCGTAAGCCATTGCTAACGATGCTGAATCAGTTCTTACGATTTTTGTACTAAATCTTAACCCTTCAAATACAAATCTAAATCTACAGCTTATTTATCAATTAATGAATGAGGCTGAGTATCATATAAAGAATTATGGAGATCGAGGAGGGTGTTATCCCTCGGATAACACCCTCCGAGATCTCCATAATTCTTCATATGATACGAAAGCCGAATTCAATAATTGTTTCATTATTCATTCAAAATAATTCCTAGTTTAAAAACAAAGTTAAAACATGCTTACCTCCATCGATGTTAAGTTCACCTTCGATAGTGCACGTTTAGGGTTGTTCAGCTCCGCAAATATTCTCCAAATAGCAGATGTCGCCCTTCGAGTTGTGTTCTTTCTGCTCTGGCCATGTTTTTAGCTATAATTTCGCCTAGTTCTTACTCTTGAAACGAGTAAAATGTCCGCCATTTTTTGTTTTTACAACCAAAACAAACTCAACCTCGTCACCAGGGCTTCTCGGTTAACGGTGCATTAACCTGCAAGAACGCTGCATTTTTGACGTCATTTCCTCGTTAAACACAAAATTCTTCCAAATTTGGTCATCAGTAACTGGTTATGGGGAATTATGCGTGTGCTTTCAGCCAATCAGAATCGGGAAAATACGTTGAATGAATAATAAAATTCAATAAAAGACACACATGTACGATTAGAAATAGAGTTACAGGGGTTTAACTCATCCGGCCCGATCCAGGTCTAGTCAACGGTCCTTTAAATATAAAACTAAAGTTATTGCTTATGAAACTGAACATTAAGTTCTGTTTTTCTGTCGTACTTGCTAATACTAAGCCTTGAACTAACAGAGAAATCTTCAAATACAAATGGTAAGCTATCGATAATGATACTAAATCAGTTCTTATGATTTTTGCGCTAAATCAAATATAAAACTGATTATATACTGAGCATATGTTATATTGATGTTAAGTCTTATATACTTGAGTTGTAAATACTAAGTCCTAGAAACCTAACTGTTCCAAATTATACCTTGAACCTTGCTTTCGAAACTGATTAGAACATTAACTTCACGTTCTTCGTTTTACTAGCAACTAAAAAATGTCAAATCTATAAAGAAACTTCTTCATGTAAAAACGAGAAGCTGTTACTTCAGTCAAAATGATGACCATAAACTTCACAATAAACCGATCACAAACTTACAAAATGAACCTGCATCGTTCATTTACACTGCACTGTTTTACTCGCTAACATAGTCATTTAATGACACCAAAAGGAAATTCTCAAAAAAATATTCCTTTATCTGTTGTGATTATGATACTGTACATGTTTTCTGTAGGTTTGCTTTACTAATGTTAAATCACCCAATGTTAATAGAACCTCTTCAAATGTAAGCTTTGTGCTATTGCTTACGATACTCTGCATCAGTTCTAGAGGTTTTCTGGTTTACTTGCTAATAATTACTGACATAAATCCTTAAACGATGTTTAAACGAAGCTTAAAGATGAACATTTAATTAAAAGGTTTAAACGTACTGTTGATGGCATACTTTTCGAAGCTTTTCCATATTTGAGGGCTTTGTTTTTACAGCGTGTTGTTCAATCCACCTCCTGTCAATGTGTCAATAAGAGACTGGCTGCTCACGTAACATTTCTGGATACTGCATGTGCATCCATCATCAATGTTGAGGCTCCAAACTGCAAGATTAACAAGTAAAGGCTAAACATTAACAACCATTTCGCAGTGGAGTAAGACTTAAAACACAACCAACACCATCAATTAAAAAAAATAATAGAAATAAACGTATTGAGTTCTACTGAGTAGACACAAGTACTGGTAGAACCACCACTAAAAAAATTTAAAACATAAAACGGTGTTGAACGGAATAGACAGAGGAATATAAATAATCGTAGTTAAAAGATACATTCTAAAAGTACAAAAGAATATCAAGAACATCTACACTAATTGTGACAGATTCTTTTTAGCAGTAACAGTTCTGTTCAGTTCAGTTTAACTGAGTCAGCTGCCACTAGAGTCTTTCCGACACAAAATATGTTTCGATGTGCCAGGGGCAAATTTAGTAAATACAGCAAATGGAATGTGCTTCGTGCCCTATTCACCCCAACAAAACATGTTTAGATTATACCAGGTTTAACAATACGAAATACTTTAAAGTAACTTCATATCTCAATAGGGTTCAAGAAACTTAAACTTGTGCGTTAAATTCTGCAAACTTAAGGCGTCAAACACTAATACACAGCTTTTAAATGGAAAAAAATATGCCAAGGCGATACACTAAACAGCTTTTAAACATCCAATATTATTGGTACGAAAGAAGCGTAAGGGTTTCGGATGGTATTATGAGATCCTATAATCGTGTAGTCAAAAGCACTGTTAAAATATCATTGAGAACCTCAGTGACAAGTTAGCAAGGGTTAACCGATTTCGGTTCCTTAACCGTGCTTCTTTTCGAGCCTGGAATGAACTTTAAGTAACGTAAAAATCCCGTATTATAATCCCGGTTATACGCCTACCCGTTTGCTACCAAAATAACGTTCTGGTTACACGCTGATTCCTTCTCACTGGTACGCACATAATGGCTCCTCAGCAGCATTTATTTGCAACAAAACTCCACTAAATTTACTAAAACGATTTACAATCACAGTTGGAACGGGAGAGAATAGAGATCCTTGTACTCACAATTTGTTGCCAGGTCGACGCACTGTGGCATAACCTTTGTCTGCAAGTGTTGAGCTTTCGGAAACTGAAAAACATTAAAATACGAAAATATTCTCACTGCTTCAGTAAAATCTTCCTGGATACTATGGATGGCAAAAACTGAATGGAAAAACCAAAAGCAATCGACAATACTTAATTAACGCATGCAATTAGAAAACATCTGCTTATGTAAGGATCTGAAACCCAAAATAAAAGTGAATTTGTATTCATTAGTGGTCCCAGATAACAAAATAAGAACCATTATTACATCCCTATTAAACAAGATCTATGTAACCTACCAAATCTGCAAGAATATTTGAAAACTGAGAGGAAAGCTACTGGCTAAGTTTTTAAAGATTCAAAAAGTTTTCTGGAGCTGAGATATCTCGCTCAATGGAGAAGGAAATACAGTGGCACCTCTGTTGACCCAGTATAAGTCCCAATATCGACATACAAATTCTCTAGACTGATCTCCATAAATTTCCTTAGAGAATTAGTTGAGACAACTTGATAACAGATCAAAGCATTTTCCCTCAGATGATCATTTCATCACTTCCCATAACGCGTTCTCATGATGACGTACTGATATTGTTGGGGGAAAATTGAGGTTTAAATTTCCTTAAAGAATTAGTCGAGAGAATCTGGTTAAAGATCAAAGCACTTTCTCTTAGGTGATCATTTCATCACTTCTCGTAACGTTTTTTTATGATGATGTACTTGATATTGTTAGGGGATACTTCAGGTTGGTCACCCTTGGGACTTGAAGGGATAAGCGGCCAGCGGCCAGCCTCAGGGAAGGGACAAGTGGACGCTTATTAAGGTACTTTTTACAGTGATTTACTGACAGCTTTGTCCGCAGGGAATCTTGTAAAAGGCCGCTAAATAGAGTGGCTGCTTAACAGAGGTTCGACCCCGCTAATTAGTAATATCTACAAACTGCACTATCCTTAACACAAGCTCCTTTTTGGGAACTAATATTATTACCAATCAGAAACTCATAACTTTCTTTACCAATTTAATGTAGGTGTGATCTGTCGACGGTACGTAAACTTAGCAATTCTTCGACTAACGATAAGGAAAAAACGCATTGCTCACCTTTTGCTTCCGAGTTTACTTTGTCTCCCAGCTGTTTTACTTGGATAACTACGCACAAACATTTGGAGTCATCAAGGCCAATAGCGATCAAGCCCTTTTGTGGACAAGAAGCCAGACACCAGGACGGTACAAAATCTATATCAAGTACAGTTAGGAGATCCCCAGTGTTAACATTGAACAACTGAAGACAATACCTCTCTGAATTCATGCAGACGATAACACATTCCGTCTTACTTACAAAGGCACAGCCAAGAACTTTGTTAACGGTGCATAGCGTACGGTGAAGCTTTCCTGAAGATGCTTCAAGAACAAGTACTTTTTTCTTGAACAGAGGGTATGTAGACGAGGTAAGCACAAACTCCTCTGTTGGAGAAAACATCCCGGGTAGGTCCCCATTCAAACAAAGATCTGGTTCAAATCTCAAAGTTCTCTTCCATAGTTCATTTTTGCCATCTGACAGATGAACTGAGCTAGGAAAGACACGTCTATCACGTGTTACTACAGTGGATAGCAGCTCACATTTACTATTACATACTATGGCTTCTATACCCAACGGATATGATGATGTTAACTGGTCAACCTCATGACAAAGTGGGATGGTCTTCACTATGTTTCCATTTGATGTGTCCAGGATGGTTACTTCAAAATCTTTCCCCACACACGCCACACAGTGGTCTGACACTGGCATTATATCCCTAATCTCGCTTAAACTAGGCCAACTTCGGAGTTGTTGTGACAAGTCAAAATTCCAAAGCTGAACACCCGCCGAATGGTAACCTCCTTTAAAAGGACACCTTCTGACACAGGTACAAGAAAACCACCAGGAGAAGGGCAGCATATGCCACGTGTACTTATCACTTTCTCTGCTTTAAGATCTCCACTCGACACATCCATAGATACCACTTGAAATCTATGATTCTCTACAGTGGCACCATAAATGGTCTTCCCATCTAAAGCGAAGGCAATGCGACAGATACGAGAGGAAAGAGAGAGAGAACGCCAGATGGCCCTCGAATGATCTTGTTTAAGGATTTCAATTTTCCTGTGTCCATGAGATACCCTCACTACAATTTGTTTGTTTAATACAAATGCAAACATAAAGGACCAAGGTTCAAGTTGCGAAGGAGTCGTTTAAACAGGAGTGAAAGGATCTCCCATCAAGAATCCACCTTTGCTAGATGATTGGGAATTCCTTGGATCCTGGCCAAAACGATTGTCTAAAACGTTCAAGGAAAAGATACCACATGGCAACTTAATGACGTTTAAGGTAAAACTGAAGACACTTTGCAAACTTCGTCTGGCTTTACTTGGCTTGACACTTAGGGAAAAACGTAAGGGTCGACGCGATTTTGTTACCGCCCTAACGTTACGTTTGTTTTCACTTGGTAGAAATGACTGAGACAAACAAAAAAGGAATTGACTGTCAGGGGTAAATTTTATCATTCCACAAGGTCGATTGGTGGTGACTTCTGCAAGAGTGGTGTCTAAGCAGTTCAATGCGTCAACCAAACACACCAGTCCCGAAAAATGGGAAATTGCCAGAAGCGTTCCATTTGGAGACCAAGCAAAAGACAAAACATCTTCATTTCTGATGGTTCGAGTGATCTCTTTGCCAGTTTTTAGATTCCACATGACAAGGCATTTAGCATCCCCAGGGCAATCGGTGATAATTTTGCCCTCGTCCCCATGAACTGAACAAACCAAAAATCTGCAGTTGCTCTCAGGGAACAGAGGTAGCAGGTCTCCGTCAATTGAGTAGGCATGGCCAAGGATTCCAGGAAGAATAATGGGCTCAGTAGGGTGAAAAACAACAGAGCGATAATATGAATATACATTCGAGTTTGCTACCACTCTAAAGGGAAGATCAGGTCTAAAGTAGCATTTCTTGACCTCAACCCGACGTACCCACTTTAACTCACCCGTTTCGAGTGACCAAAGGTAAATCATCCCATCACTACATTCGCAAACCATGAACTCCTGCTTCGGTGAAATATCAAAACAAGCAACCACGGAGTCACATGGAAACACAGCCTGGGTCTTATTCCACACCTTCTTCAAAGCTTCCTTATGAAGGTACTCCATGTAAGGTATTTCACGACTCTGTAAAACTTTCATAGCTTCACTAGCAAAAACGTCCCCTCCCTCGTTCACCATCACTTGAAATATTGTACTAGGATGCGTCGAAAGTCTTTCACGGTACTTTTGTAAGAGAGACGACAACGTGTCAAGGGCTTTTCGGCTCTCACTACTCAATGACTGAAAAGCTTCTTGTTTCTGAGTAAGGATAATGTCTTTAGAACTAGCCGTGTTGTTTACACATAGCTTTGCAAACACAATGTCTAAGTCGGTAACATAGTTGTTAACGATTTCTTCAAAGCTTCTTGTACTCTCATCTAGCTCTTCGGACTCGAGCATATGATAAACACCATGCTGTAGCGCGTACCTTGCAGTGATACTGAATTTGGAGCCGTTAAAGCCTTTTCTTTTCACGTTATTCAGTTCATTAGTACAGAGCTGAGAGAGCATGGCATGACCTTGCTTTTCATCTACGGAGAAGTTGTGTTGCCCATAGGTAGTTCTGTCAGTCAACCAGTCCTTAAGTGATTTGTGGAAGAACACAATGCAGTCATCATGAACAGGTAGAAGGGTTGAAATAGAGTTAATAGCTTTTGTTACTTTCCGAGGACCAGATGGGGACTTCGAGTCCGAAAGCAACATCTTAGAAACAAAGTCTCGTGGTAGCGGTTCTCTTGCCGCCGCCATAGCACTCAAAAAAGTCAAAAACTGGTCCTCACCAATTTCCAATTCTTTCTCTAAACGTTCAAAGTAGGACTGATAAACAGACGATACACCTGAATGTAAGGTTCTTCCTAAGTTCTCGGGGGTGAGAGGTGAAAAGTTTTTCTTGAAAAAATCGACCATCAAATAAGCATATAAAAAATGCCCTGCAGCCTTTCGGACCAGTGCATCGATAACAACATCTTCACAGCCCGCTTGAATAACGCTGCTCAACTGTTTTTCAAGGAAGAGTCTGATGTCTTTCACGTTTTCTTCGTTATCTTGCTCCAGCTGAATAGGATTAAACTTTTGAAGACGATCTGCAATATTTACTTCAGGTCGAGTGGTAACAAGAAACCGGAACCAAACAGGAAGTTTACAAAAATAATTAGCTACGACATCAAGCAGATCATTGCGGCCTTTGTATTCACTTTCATCCAGGCCATCAATAACTAACAGCAAATTTCTTCCACGGTCTCCTACGCTGCATAGAGGCTCTTCGAAAAGAAATTCGAACAACTCCTGAACTTCTAGGCTGTTCATGTCCACACCCAAGTTTCTAGAAAGTTTCTTCACAAGTTCACTTTTGTATTCTGGTAAAACATCGCACAGCTGACAAGCTAACGATTGAAGCATTACCTTGGGGTTTCTGTAACGTTCCTTGTTGTGCTGACAAAAGTGACTTCCTGAGAGCCGACCAGCCTGTTGCATTCTCTGACAAACGATAGCGGCGATAACTGATTTGCCCATTCCTGCATCTCCACTGATTACCATCACACGATTTTCAGATGCAAGATCGTCTAGCCACAACCTGATCTTCTTAAAGATGAGCAAGCGCGTTTTCTCCAGGTATTTCCCAGAGTGATACTGGATGACTCTCTCGGTGCTAACTTGTGCTAATTTTCTCAGAGCTTCATCCTCTTCAGCTTTATCTCCTCTTTCTTCAGCATTTGCAGCCTCACGCTTTATCTGCTGCTGCGATTCTTGTTGGGTTGTCCGAACTTCCTGTAACATTTGTTGCAAATTGCCAACTGCCTGGTGCGTATCTTGAGGCGTCTGTTCCACTCTGCCAACCGTTTGTTGTGTATCTTGAAGAGTTCTGTGATCTTCCTGTTGGGTTTGGAGCACTTGTTGTTGTTTAGTAAGTAGATCTTTCAGCTGGAATTGGATCTCCTCGTCATTTTTCATCCATTCAGTAACAGCGCTGACATAATCCTCTCCACAAGGCTCTCGCTTTAATCTGTCCACTTCAGACTGATTCAACCCAAGCGAAACAAGAACAGAACTAACTTCCTGCCATTTAACATCGAACACTAGTTTTGGAATACCAGTTGTTGTCACGTGACCATAGAGCACGTTTCGATAGTATTTCATGCGAGCAAGGTTAGCCTCTCTAGAGGTGTCACTCGCGGGAGGCATTTTGTGCCAAGAGCCCGAGGGGGGAGGGGATAGTCCGCAAATGTTCGTCAGCAAGAGGAACAGAAGAGTGATATCAAAGTTAATAGAGTTTGGTGTCCCTCCACCTGGTGGTGGAAACAGTTTGTCCCACTGACTGCCATTCAGAATGTTTCTATGCCGAAGTCTAGTAAGAATGGAATGAATATGTCTGGAACTAAGATTAGCAGCCAAGTTGGCAGGAGGGTGATGGGAATCGAAAATATTCCTCAGCACTGTTGTTCCGCCATCGATGAGAAGCCTACTTAGCTTGTTTCCATTTGTCTTCTCGACAGAGCTGGCCAGGGGTGACGGTGTTGCAGTCGCCATAAAAGCCAGAAAAGGAAATATCCACCAGCTTTTAAATCTGCGTAGAAACTAACACACACACACAAAATAAATTAACGTTAAAGCACAGTTATCTTTTTCTCATAAAAAAAGAACCGAAAATACTTAGTAGTTGAGTACCTCACCAAGGTTATTAACATATTCAGAGGGTCTCATCACGTATTTAACAGTTTAAGTTGAACTGCTACTGAATAATAAAAAACAATGAAAAACACACAAAAGTCTCTGTTTTCCCGCCACAACTTAACATTAGCATGCACGCATTTTGAGTGTAAGGACGATCGTAAGTCCCAAAATAAATCAAAAAACTTATGCTTATGCAAAAGTTTGTGGGGGAAACAAAGAGTACTATGACTATTAAGGTAGTTTTGAATAAGGCCTATTACAGTGCACACTTTCATCATCATGCAAATCTATATGTGATATCAATATATTTGGTCTCTCATGTTCATCCTTCACGAGTTTACAACAAATTGACTAAATGACAAGCTCCCCTCCTGGTTGGCTTGTAAGCTCAACTGGGGAGAAAAAATATCTTAGTAAAAAAAACACTATAATTCTAACAAAAATCTTCAGATCCAAGTTAAAATACAAAACAGTAAAGGGGTCATTGACAGTATAACAGTCAAGGGTACCAGAGAAGTAAATCCTGTCAAAAGTTTAAAACTTGGTGGACAGTTGTACAAGCACCAATCATGTGCACACTGAAAAGAATGAAAAATGTTAATTAGAATTTAAGAAGCTTAAGTCAAATTTTGGCAGGGATATGTTATGCACTTGTAATTTCCCTCAGACAGGTTTACTCACAGGCTGTAGCATGACTCACTGCAAATTGCAGAATCTATTATATTTCATTAAATAATGTTTACAAAAGGAAAAATAATGTAATGAAAAAAGAACAGCTTCCCACAATACCACACAAAACAAAATGAAAGTTTTCATAACATGCATAAACTGAAACCTGGGCAAAATGTTAAAGTTTATTTACATGCTCTGAAGTCCCATTTCACCCCACTTCCTCTGCCCCCCCCTATCTCCCTACTTCCACTATTTCTTCCCTCTCCCATGCCCTACAACTCCCCCTCCTCCTCCCTGATAACACTTTCACTTTCTCAACTGCTCTCCCCTCTCATTTACCACTGCCAGTATGATCCACTCACCCTCCATAAAACTAAAAAGGACACTCCTCCCTCCCTCCTTAGCAAGTACCACTACCACTTGCTTAATTGTTTGAACTTGTATATCCACAATGCAATGCTGACCATTGATACCAACACTTACCCTCTCAACCTCCCTCATTTACCAGTTGAGCCTACATGTAGGTGTAAGCTCCCCCTGAAATAGGGAAAAATTAATACTTTATGGAGGAATACATATATGGCTATTATAAACGCCCCCTCAGTATAATAGCAATTGCCACTACCACATTTCTGACATTACAACTACCACCACCTCGGTGAATTAGTAATCTCACGACATGATAAGAGCTACTGTGTTGTTTGTAACATATGCTGAGAAAATTGTGCTCATTGGTGAATCAAAGAAGTAGGACAAGGTCACCACACAATACGCAATGGAATGCAAATGAAATCCTTAGTTCTCTATAACACATGTATAAGACCCTGTTACGGTAAAACTCCGATATGCGGCATGGCCTTGAACGACGACAAATGAGTGTGCAGACATAAATATGGGTTAAATACAGTGTAACAACAGGGACATGTCCTACTCCTCAAAACACAAAATGACCCTATTTGAAATTTGACCAGGGACATACATACCCCCTGCTCCCCTAAAAAGCCCCATGTACATGTACATGTACAACAGAAGCATCACATTATCGACAGTGATTGGATGACTATTTTTATTAGGCCCAATTTTCATTTGGTTTCCACCCTAGAGTGGGAAGAATCATGTCAAAAACTAGGGGAAAGTTGGAAGCATTTAACCTCAGCCACAGGGGAAGATGCCAAAAGGCATCAGTATAGGCTAACTACCCGTAATTTCTAGCGGCATGAACAGCTAATGGCGCATGTATGTATCTACTGATTTATTATTATTATTATTATTATTATACATTGTTATCATTATTTACTTTTGAAGTTTGATTACATGTTCAATTGACATGATGGAAACCCCAATAACTGACAAAAGTTAAAATAATTTTTTACAGGAAGTAGTCAAATTTTGGCACAGATACAATCCCCTCGGAGTTCCTGTTTTCGTGATCGATTACACTAGGATAGCAAGTGACGCCAAGGCAGCCACGACTCTATTTTCATGCAAATTCTGCGAAAAACCATTGTATTCATGTATTAACCACTAACATGCATGACTGCGTTGTAATCCAGACGAAAGTAAAGAGAACAGAGTGCCTATTTCATTAATTCAAGGGACATAATTCTACTTATAGCTGACAGCTGTAAGTAGAAAATCAAGAATATTAACAGATAATATGAATAGATTGGGAATTAATAAAGAA